GGGGGTGCACATCTCTGAGGACCTCTCCTGGACCAATAACACCACATCACTGGCCAAGAATGCTCAAATACGCCACTACAAACTGAGGAGAGCCAGTGCCTTACCCCCATCATGCATTCCTTCTACTGGGGCACCATTGAGAGCGTCATCACTGTACTGCCTCCTGCAGAAGGACTCTGCAACGCATAGTGAAAACAGCCAGCAAGATCATCGGTGCCCCTCTGCCTTCCATTACGGACATCTTCAACACCCTCTTCACCTGCAGAGCCATCAGCATTGCTGATGACACCTCCCACCCCACACACTCCCACTTCAGACTCCTGCCTTCAGGGAGAAGGTATCGGAGTCTTTAGGCCCATTCCACAAGACTTAGGAACAGCTTCATCCTCCATGCTGTGAGGATGCTGAACGCTGTCCATTACCCCCTCGCCCCTGGACTGTAACTGTTGGACTAAACCAGTCCTGTGTGTTCTTTTATGAAGAATGCTCAAAGACAAATCTGTCCTTTGAGATATTTATTACAATCAATATTTAAGAAAAAATATTCTAGAAAAGCAATACAGAGCTCTGGATTCCGTCTCTATCTGAAGCCCTATCACACAGAAGTATAGTGCATAGCTGCTGCAGGAAGCCGGAACCACAAGTTTCCTCTGCAGAGAGAATTTATAATAAGAGTCATGCAAATGATCTGACGTAATCCGCGTTGTCCTTCATCCTCGTTCCTTGGTTGGTTTCTTGACCTCATTCTGACCCCTCATTTGGTGATCTTGTCGCCAGGCAGATTTTGATCTGTGACATTCTCAGTACAACATATCCTGACCTTTCAATAGACAGTTTTAGAGGCAGCACCTCGAGCGTTGCTATGCAACCGTGGTCTACTTCCTGTATGTGGTTTCCTGTCTACTCTTACAGCCTTACACATGTCTCCTATATTCTTAAAGACAAGTGAACTGGTTAAAACAAAAGTAGATTATAAGGCATATGATACTATTATAATGCATATGATACTAAAATAAACATGTAAATATATTTGCTAATGCAGATTATAATGTCAATCCTAGAATTTCATATGTTGATAAAGGTTGATAATCTGAAGCCAAGACAATCAGACCTTACACCCACACACTATTCTCGTGCAGACAGTTTAGTCATCTCAGTATGTATCTGCACGACTTCCTGTTGTTCTGAGTCTCTCTGCACCTACTCACAGCATTTCATGTCCACAGGTCAAATCTTTACAAAGGTCAAACAGATTAAACATTTATTTGAACAGTTTTGCAAATACATAACATAGCACTATATCATTTTATCAAGAATTTCTTTCTACATAACCCACCACAGAACATAAAAAGTACACTCCCCCTTATTGTCATATATGCGAATCTGCTGCTGTTTTTTTTTATGTCATATCTGCTGCTGTTGGTCATTTGCAATGCTGTCCATGTACATTTCATAAGCTATTATGCATCTCATCACCACTGGTGATGCTGACCACCTGACAATCTTCTTATTATTTGTGCTACTGTCACTGTTTGCACATGGTTTTGAGTTTCATCATAGCCTATTAGGTGGTACCATTTAGTTTAACCTTATTACTTGAATTCAGTTTTCATATTCTATTTATTCTGTGTTTATTTCACTTTTATTCTATTTTAGTTTCTTAAATGGTATGGGCATTCAACATTAGGTGAGAGAGAAACAGTATATTAATTTTTCTTGAACTGATCTGCTCCCAAGCAGGTTTGAGATTACAGATATGTTGCCATGACAACAAGTCCCGCAACATTTTCAAGGAACCAACAGATCTCTGCTAATGTGAAACTGTCACCACAATTATCCAGATAATTAGTTAATCTACAACACCCCTCTGGTAACACATCATGGGGGGCCCCCAGCAGCCTAGGCCTATAGCAGCATAACTAAGGGCAGGCTCAGGGTCACATGAACCAGACCTAACTATAAGCTTTGTCAGAATGGAAAGTCTTAAGGCTAATCTTAAAGGTAGAGAGGGCGTTCGCCTCCTGAACTGAGACATAGGAGAGGAGCTTGATAACTAAAGGCTCTGCCTCCCATTCTGCTTCTGTGGACTCTAGGAACCACAAGTAAACCTGCACTCTGAGAGCGAAGTGCTCTGTTATGATAATACGGCTTTATGAGGTCTTTATGATAC